GATGGGACAAGTAATGAAAACTCACTTGAGCAGTAACCATACTAAATTTTGTAGAAACATTGTGAAGAAGTAGCTCAAACATGAAGTAAATACTCCATGCAAGCACAAATAAAAGATTAATTGAGTTAAAAAATAACAATCTCCAGCTGATGCTAATTTTTCAATGGATTTAATATATGGTTATTATGAGAGATCATTGGTAAAAAATAATCCTAGAAAACATAAAAGTTGAGGACTCGGTAGAAAATACATGTTTCAGTCATAGTCCCTACATCCTAAAATGGGGCCCAATGCTAGAGCCTTCTGTAGGCCCCTCCTCCCATTTTGATGGTTGTGCATATTAAAAAATTTTTTTTTTTGTGGCAGATAAAAAAACAACCATAAAAACCATATAAAGTTTGTTATTTAAAAAACCAATCTTACATTTTAAAATCTAAATTATTTATGTATTTATAAATAATAACTGTCTGAAAAAACTTAGTTTTAAGAATAAATACTAATGTTAAGCTATGCGTTCATGTATGTATTTATTTATAGATTTTTGTTTTAAAAAGGCTTAGATTTTAAAATGTTTTAAAGTTAAAACTCAAATTATTACTTTTTCAAATTTGATTTTTCAACTTAATGAGACTGAGAGGTTTTAAAGATTTATTCACTTAAAGATTGAAGTGCTTAACTTTTCGATCATGAGATGGTATCAACACGCCCCCTTTTAAAAAATTAATTAAAACTACAAAAATGACCAAACTTCACCTTATTACATTCAACCAAACAAGTTTTCTTATTCGGTCATAAATTTTTATTTATCAAAACATTTTTATTACTTATTATAACATCATTTTTTAATGTTATTTTATACAAGAAATTAAATTGACAGTTTACCTAATTTTTTTGGTCTCAGCTTGTTAATTTTGGCATGTTAATTGTTAGTGAAAACTAAAAACCAAAAATTAACTGACCTAGTTATGTTTAACAATCCAATAACTCATAGAAGTTAAGGTGCTTTACAAGAAACTTATTTTAATGGGATATTAGTTTAAACCACCAGATATTTCTGTTATATTTTTGGTCTAAACACCTCATAACTTTAAGTAAAAAAAACATGTTTTTTAGGAAATTTATTGACTTAAAGACTTAGTAAAAATCTCTTTTGATCTATAACTATGTCAAACTTAAGGACGTTTTCAAATTTTACTTACAAAAATTTGCAAACCGACTGAGCAAAAACCAAAAGATGTTCAAAAAGAGACTTTATAAATGTCTCAAATTCTATATAAGCAAACAAACAAAAAAAAAATTGCTTTGAAATTTTTCTTTAATACAAGCAGAACAAGTTGTATTAAACAAAAATAAATTTATATTTATTTCATTTCATTTAAACCAAAGTTATAAATTGTCAAAGATTTTTTTTTTAATTTTCAACTTTAAGTTTTACTAATTTGCCTTAACAATGCTGAGAATTTTTATCATAGTTTTTTACTTTACCGAGTAAAAAACTGTGATAAAAATGCGGGAAATGGTTTACACGGTCTGAAAAATCTTTTTTTGTTTTGTTTTAATAAGTTTCAATAGTTTTGAGAATAAATACTAATGTTAAGCTATGCGTACATGCGTATATATTGATATACATATTCTACAAGTATTGATGAACCTGCTGGGCCACCTTTACCTCATTGGCCCTAGCACTACAGTACCAACTGCCCCTCCCCTTGTTGGGTCATAGTTTGGGTTTTAATTATTTCTTTCAAAATCAAATACAACTATATAAAATTGATTGTCAGCATTAAAAAAAAAAAGAAAAAAAGAAAGATATTTATATGAGGGTTAATACTATAGATATTCTGAAAACTAACAATTCCATTGGCATTGAGCATGTATTCAACTTATTTCTGAAGACATTCTGCTTTAGAGCAAAAACAGTATTTTTTATTATCAAAATTTAAATCAATATATTTCAACTAATGACCTGTAGGTCATTATCTCTGATTTTCCTTATTTTTACATATTATTATTTGCATTATGTAGATAAGTTAAATTTGAAATTTAAGACTTTAAAGTACAATGGTTCAGAAATTATAGCCTTAGAAACATGACGCAGTGGCCCCCCCTCAATTTACAAATGGTCAAAACAGACTACTTTAGGACTGTATAATTTTTTTTCTCACTTTCAAAGTGTCTCATTTTTTCTAGAACTATTTTCTGCATTGTTCTCTCTTTAAAAAAAGTGATTTTTATTAACCTGTATTAAATTAGAAAAAAATTATGAGCTCCTCAACTTTGGAAAAAATCCTAAAATTGCTAAAATATGCCAAGATGAAACTAACTGTAACATTAATTTATTCATCCACAAGTCTTTACAGATTTCTGATTAGCTACTACTGTCTGCAATAAATGGAGATATCGGCAGCTTGTTGCAGTTTAGAACTCAAATATATCTAAAAGCAAAATGTTTGGTCGCCTAAAAATTCAAATTTTCAGCCATTTTGAGATAAATAAATTTGAGATAAATAAATATATTTTGAGATAAATAAATTTGAGAAAATTTTTCTAACGCTTTGTTTTGATCAAAGATTAACAGCATATAAGACCATTAAACCCAACTATCTGAAAATGCAAACATTATAAACTTGTCAAATTCACACCCAAAATGCCAGCATTTTTAAATAACTTTTTTTTTCAATTATCAGCTGTTGAATGTGTTACTAGAAACCAGTGCCTCTCTAATCTGCCAACTGGCCTATATGAAGAGTGTAACTAATTATAAGAAAGATATGGTTGGTTGTCCTCCCCTTTATCTGGTCTTTATAGTAGATAGGGGCACAAATAAAGAAGGCAGTAACTTTTTAGAGACCTTTATTATGGTTCAAATGAAGGTCTCTAAATTAATTTAGATATTTAGATACTTAATATCTAAATATCTAAATTAATTTCAAAATGAAAGCATTAATTCTTTAAATTCTATTTTATTATAGGTGATCAGTAGTCTGAATGTGGTCTGGACCCCACCCCCCAGCCCCTCAGGTGAGGATGAGGGGGTTGAGATGGTACTAATCAAAGGGGGAGGGTTTACAGTTGTTCAGATTTAATATTTTCAATATTATCTCAGTAAATGTAAAAGTTATACAGTTTTCACTAATTATTAATAACAAATTCTGGGCCCTGTTTGTGGTTAAAGACTAATTTAAACATTTACTTTGACTTTGTACACAAGTTAAAACTTAATAAAAATGCAATAAAAATAAAAATATATTTTGAACTTGGCAGCTCCTGTGTTATCCAGGATATAGATTTTATGACAGTTTTTTCTTTGAATTTGTAAAATAATTTAGCATCATGGCTAGAGTTTAAAAAATAAAAAATTATAAAGAGTTTCCTAAAAATAAGGAAATGGTCCTCTACAATTGGGAAAGTCCCTCATTATACAATATTGGAAATGGTCCGATAAACAGAATTTACAAAGGCTATCCAGCCAGCGCATCTAGTTTCTTTTTCAGAATTAAAACCTGTATAGATACGTGTTTGTTACGAATCCAGGTGTAAAACAAAAATATGTGTATATATTTTTTTAAGTTTTACTAGAGTTTAACACATGTTTTTTGAGGTTTCAAAGTCAAGTTTAAATGTCACATGCTTTTATCAGTGGATTCACATTCCTTACAGAAATTTATTATAATATAATACTACATTTCTGTAACAGTGAAACCATTATTATTTTAACTGGTATTTATGGTAAATAGTAAAGTTAACTTTATGGAATGAAAATCATTCTTGGCACGTGTTATTCTTTTTGTTTTAGAAGGTTTTAAACACGCATTAGAAACCAAGTATAACTTTTTTGCTGAGTTGTGCCAGCTTGGTAGTTAAATAAACTACCGTTTATACAGTCAGTTTGTCTTCTATGCTTGCCCTCTATATTGTCCATAAAACTTGATATTAAACTTAATATTCTCATAAAATCACAATTTTCTTTCAATTGTAATTTGAACTTCATAACATTCTAATGAAATGTAGATTTTAAAAACATTTTATAAAAAAATACTTTCTATCCTTAATAGTTTTTTGTTATATTCCATTTGGTTTTTATTTTGTTTTTTCACAATAGATTTCTTGAATTTAGTAATAAATATAAATTATTTATAATGTGAAACATTTATTATACTTTTCAAAAACAAAATAAATGCTTTATGATTAACCAGCTTTTTAAAAAATAGATAGCAAGTTTTTTGCATTAAAAAAAATTTAATATTGTAGAACCCACAATTGAGATTTAAAAGTACATTCCTTATGGAAATTTCAGTTACAACTAGTTAGCTTTATAGCCAATTTTAAGGGTTTTTCTCTCTTCCGCTCTCATTATTACCTGATTTAGTTCTTTAAGAATCTTTTTAAACCTATCAAAAAATTATTTTTAATTTTTAGTGTTAGTTCTAATATATTGAAGAAAATAAATTTAATATTATTATAATATAACAAATATTAATTATATACATATATTTATTTTTCTCCTGAGATATTAGATTTAAATGAATTTATTTAAAATTATCAAACATTTACCTTGATGTAAATCTATGTGACCTAATATGTATATAGTACAGCCTGGGGCTGAACATTTCAGATTCTTTTTTAATTAAATTTTTTTACATTTGATAGAAGATTAAATGTTCTTAAAATAAATGTCTTTAAAATAAACAAAAAAACTAAAATATAACTAAAAGAAAATATCTTAAGAAATCTTTAAGACTAAAGTATTTCTAAATGCTCAAGTCAGTAAATACAATTTATTGAATTAAATTAAAGTAGGTGAGTCTCAAGCAGAAAAAAGCTAAAAAGGTGATTAAAGTCAAGATATTTGTTAAAGTAAAATTTATTTGACAACATTTAGATTATTTTTAGAAATAACAAGAGTATTTATTCACAGCCTTTAATTTGTTATCAAATAAGAAGCAACAAGGTTTTTAAATTATATAAAAATCAAAATCATTACAAAAACATAAACTTACATTACTTGTAGTGACAAATAATGCTATTCCTATTGGAAGACATATTGTGCCAAAAAAGAAAAAAACAGGAAGAACTGTTGATGCTGTAATAATTGGCTGCCATGCAGGTAATTTTTGTTGCTTAAATTTTGAATCTGAAAATAAATCTAATAAATGTAAAAGAGAGAGAGAGAGAGAGAGAGAGAGAGAGAGAGAGAAAGAACAATAAACAACACTCATAACTAAGCAAAGAACTTTTATGTTCCCTTAGTAATAAAAAACAAATTCGAATAAAATAATAAGGTTTAAGTAATTTTTATTGATAAAAGTTATTGTCTAAATGTTTTTTACAAATGTAAAATATTAGACATTCATACATATAAACTAAAAGGTTGAAAAAAGAAATTAGGTTAGTATGATTATAAAAGAAAAACTGGTATATACAGTAGTTTAACAAGAAAATTATTTAGTATTATAAAAGAAAAACTGGTATATACTGAAGTTGTAACAAGAAAATTATTTATTATTATATATAAAAAAAGAAGTTTTATTTTAAAACATGCAAAATAGTAAAAAAAGAAACAATATAAAAACTACAACACGAGTAAAACCTAATTTGTTATAAAATAAAACAAATTTTAAAACAATATTTTTACCACTTGGTTTTCTGCTTTGTTCCTTTTCTCCAGAGAATCCTTTTCTCTTAAACGGCCAAGGCATTATTCCTAGAAAGCAGACTTATACTTAATAAAAATGTTTACTTCTGAAATTAAAAAATATATATATATATTTACTTCACTTAAAATTTAAACGCAATTACAAAAAAATACTTGAGCCGAAATTTAGATGTTTTGCTTTTGGTTGCCAGTTGTAGTTTCTTCAAGTTAGCCTGTAAACTACTGTGTTGTAAACGGTAGTTCACGATACGTTAAAAATTTGTCGTATTATTATAAAACATAACAAAAGCAATACAACTTGTACTTTAATTATGTTTAGAACTTTTATTAAATGTTTTTTTTTTTTAAATATTAGCTTCTCATTGTACTTTTCTGAGCTGGTAATATATAAAAAAGTATAGTATCAAATTTACAATACAAGTTTTATTGCTACACTTTAAAATTTAATGGGTGTACCAGCGTTCAAAAACATAACAACTTAAAATCTTTGACTTATAATAATGTGAGACATAAGATGTTATTTTCTGAAATCTAGGAAGGAAAAAACTCAATTTTTGTAAAAGTATAAGCTGTTAATTATTTATAATGTTAACAAACCTTGTTATTTTAAAAATAAAATTTACTATCCAAATAGGCGCAGCAAACTTAAGTCAGCAGCCGTGGTGCAGTGATAAGAGTTCTGACTTAGAATCAAGAGGTTCGTTGCCAGCTCTAGCCTAATAATCAACGTTGGTAAGGAAGATTGCGATGCCGGGTATTTAACGACCTTGAGAGGAGTAACTTTCGCAATCATGTCTTATGACAGCAAAAAGTTGCCGCTATTTTATTTACAATGAAAAAGAATATATATAAAACAGACAGGGGCTTAAAAAAGATACGGATGACTGGTGTCACCACAACCTTTTCATTGAGCCCTTTACTATTTAAATCCCACATGGCTTTAGTAACCCGAGAAAAAAAACCCGGCTAATCCTATTAAGTACTTAGTAAGTTGTATTGGTAATACTAACTAAGTTCCTGATGAGTACTCGCATGGAACTTCAAAGTATAAGCAGGTTTTATTTGGAACTTAGTAGAAATACTCAGGTTTTTATTCGGTCATTAGCCGTATTAGCAATTTTTAGTCAGAACTTAGTAGGAATAATGAACTTTTTACTCAGCATTTGGTTATTAGCCTAATTTAGTAAAAATTAGTAGGATTTATTAGTATTATATTTAAAAACTGGGTTTTAGTTAATAGTAGTATTTTATATTTTTATTTGGTGTTTAATTGTTTGTGTTTTAAAGATTCCATAGTTAAAATAGTTGGATTATTATTACAAGAAATTAGTGTTAAAGTAAAAATTTCAAAATAATTATTTTTAAATTTTTACATAAGCACAGATAATTAAAAAAATAAAAACCCATCCTAACTTAAGTACTATAGTAGTACATTATAGTGTAACCAATTTAACTTGTTGCCTGAGCAATAAAGACGCTGGTTTATAAAACAATTATAGAAATAACAAATAAAGCAGTGTTAGCTAGTATTACTGAAACATTTTAAAAAGTACAATAAATAACGATGGTCAGTTATTTAGTAATTTCGAAGGTGCCAATGAAAAAATTCCATCCATATTATTACATTTGTCTTCATCTTTTTTTTTTTGCCATAACTGTAACTATAATGAAATTTAAAAAAATATTAATGTAAATTAACAACCTTATTATTTAACAATTTTTATCAAAGTTTATTCAACTTAGCATAACTTTATAATGGTGAAAAACTTTTCATTATTATTTTTCTAAAATATAAGTTTAAAACATCATAGACTGTTCCAGCATTTATTTTAAAAATTGCGATTTATGTTCTCGCTAATTATTACTACGACATTCTTTTGTTTTTCATTTAGCTTAAGTAACTTAATAAGCCTTTCCAAATTATAATTACTTTCTTGTACTTCACGTACAAGGTCCAAAATGAGATCTGTATCAAAATGAGATCTGTATCAAAATAAGATCTGTATCAAAATGAGATCTGTATCAAAATGAGATCTGTATCAAAATGAGATCTGTATCAAAATGAGATCTGTATTAAAATGAGATCTGTATCAAAATGAGATCTGTATCAAAATGAGATCTGTATCAAAATAAGATCTGTATCAAAATGAGATCTGTATCAAAATGAGATCTGTATCAAAATGAGATCTGTATCAAAATGAGATCTGTATCAAAATGAGATCTGTATTGACCCCTGGCTGTAGAAGAGCTACAATCAGAGAAAAGAAACATAAAAATTCTTTTCTCTGATTGTAGCTCTTCTGGGTTGAAGATGTTCATTATGATTTTCATTGAACCATGATCCCCATCAATACCAACTCTTATAAAGCAATTGTAGGGATTAAGTTTTCTGTGTTCACAAATTTTTTTTATTAGTTCTCACCCGTTCAGGAACAAATACAACATCTTTCTGAATTGTATCTAAACCTTGCAGTTTCCATTGTTGTATGCTACAGTTAATTCTTTATTGTCAAATGTTTTATACATATCTTTTAGTACAGAGGAAATAACTTGTTAGGAGGTCTTTGAGTTTTGAGAAAGAATGAGCCCATGTAGATTCTTCACTATTGCAGGTTTTGTGCAAGGGTGTGTTTACCTTTACCTACCCTTTGGCAACAATCTGTGCAAATAAATGCACTATTCACATCTGAGGACTCAGGCTCTTTACTAAAATCCTCAATAATTTCAGAAAGATCGATTTTTCAATGAATTCTTTTCTCTTTTGCAATACAGCAAATGGGACATAGACCAGTATCCTTTAATCTACATAGTTTCCGTAGTGATCTTCCAATCTTCCACAAATCTTCTATGTTTTGAGAAATTTTCCCTTCAGTCTAAAATTGTTTAATATAGTATTTTATATACGTTTATATATATTTACATTTTCATGTATCATTAATAAATCAACATTATTGACAAAAGTTTGTTTTATCTTTTTTAAATTAAGTCATTTTTTACTTTTTGAGCAAACTCCAGATGGTAGAGAATTGATTTCCAAACTAAACCCTCGGTCCAATTATAGAATAACGAATTCTTGTAGAGCTGGGTTATTTTCTAATTTACGACTTTTTACGTCTTTATTTAGACAGCAAAAACAAACTATATTCCTAATTTCTTTTTGAAACCTATGTCTTGTTGAGCTTATTTTGGCCCAATACTGGGAGTTATTCGAAGAATCTTTAGAAAGTTTTTTAAATTTTAATAACTAAATGTAAAGTAAATTTTCAAAAAGCCTTTATGACCTTCTCACGTCTAAAATAAAGCTTAAAAGAATAACAAATGCAAACGTATACAATGAAGACTATTAGAATTCTACATTTTTTAGTGTTTGAGGAAGCAAACTTCCAGACATAAGGTAAACTCCAAATATCTATATGTTTGTTTCAAATTATGTTTTGCAAAGTATTGGGATGATTGGAACCTGAGAACAAAAAACTACCAAAAATTTCCCCCTCTGCCCCAAACGTGAGAGCAATGAGTTAACAAATTATTTTTTTAAGTATTCTTAACTAAAATGATTTCCAAATTTCCAAATTTAATATTGCCATAATTCTTGAACGCTAAACGATTCTTGATAAAATTTGAAATATGAATGATTTTTCATAAAATTTGAAATTTTTAAATTAATACAATTTTCGTTAAGATTAGAAAAAAAAAAGTATGAACTCTAACCTTGAGAGCAGGAAGAGAAATTTAAATTTTTGTTCATAGACTCCAATTATTTCGATAATTTTACAAAACTTCCTTAATTTGACAGAGACATATAAACATATAAATGTTTTGAGTTTACTCTATGTTTGAAAATTAGTATCTAAAACACCAAAAAAGGCTGGCTCTGCCACTAAGTTAAAATTTCTTTTGCAAAGTGATTATTTAAAAAAGCGTGTAAATCCCAAAAAGGAACACTTTTTGTTTTGTTTTCAATGGAATACACCTCATGCACACCCAAAGTATTGTTATCTTTTGAAACATCTTGAGTACCTTTTAGGTCAACTACAACTTCTAAATTGAAACAATGTGTACTTAATGATAAAAGTTATGGACCTAATAGCATGCCTCCATTTTTTCTTAAACTTACCTCTCACATAATCTCCAAACCTCTTAGCATTATGATAAATAATTCTTTTAAAAATGGCAAATTCCCTGATGTTTTTAAAGTAGCTCAAGTCATTCCAATTTATAAAGCAGGCTCCTTACTAGACTTTTCTAACTATCGACCCATTTCCCTTCTTTCCAACGTAAGCAAACTTTTTGAGAAGGCTATGCATAACAGACTATACAAGTTTCTAGATAAATTTAAATGCTTGTACCAACATCAATATGGATTTCGAAGCAAACATTCTACAACCCTTGCACTTATTGAAATTACTGAGAAGATTAGAAGAGCTCTAGATAATAAACACTTTGCATGTGGGGTGTTTGTAGATTTGCAGAAAGCATTTGATACTGTGGATCACTCCATCCTTCTCACAAAATTAGAATACTACGGAATCAGAGGCATCCCACTAAAATGGTTTACGTCATATCTCAAAAATAGAACACAGTTTGTTTCCATTAATAGCACTAAATCTGATTTACAGAATTGCTCAAATGGCGTCCCACAAGGTTCAGTTTTAGGACCACTTCTTTTTCTTCTTTTTATTAATGACTTGAATACTTCTTTTAAACTTGCAACTGCTTACCATTTTGCTGATGATACTAACATGCTACTGGTTGACAAATCACTTAAAAAAATCAACAAACATATTAATCATGATCTTGGAAATCTTGTTCAGTGGCTTCGTTCTAATAAACTTTCTCTCAATCCTAACAAAACAGAGCTTATCATCTTTAAATCCAATCTGGCACCAATTAAAAAGCAATCAAATTTCAGACTAAGTGGACAAAAAATTTATCCTTTAGACTCTATTAAATATCTTGGGATTAAAATTGATTCTAATCTTTCTTTTCAAGGCCATCTGAATGACTTAGCAATGAAACTCAGCAGATCTAATGGAATGCTAGCCAAAGTCCTCCATTATGTTAATCTAGAAACTCTGCTAAATAAATATCATGCTATTTTTGGGTCCCATCTAATATATCCATGTCAAGTATGGGGACAATCCCATAAACAAATCATTTTAAGGTTGTCCCATCTCCAAAATAAAGCCTTGAAAATAATATATTTTTAGTATAATAACTCTAAATCTAATGTACTATACCTAATCTCCAAAATAATAAAAATAAGCGACCTTGTGGTATTCCTCAACTGCCTA